GAAGAAAATGAGGGAGGCAACATTAGGCCACATTAGGTGCACCACTGAACTGCTATGAAGTCACTTTAAACAGGCATGGCTTCCCCTCAGGGATTCTGGGAACTGTAGGTGGTTAAGGGGACGGAGACTTGTTACGGTCATTAAGTATTAGGATTAGGATTAGGGGTAGGATTAGGGGTAGGGGTGGGGGTAGGGTTCCCTTCTAGTAGCTCTAGTTAAGGGTTAAGGGTTAGAGTTAGGGTTAGCGTCAGGGGCAGGGGTAGGGTTGGGGTTCCCTTGTTAGGGAACTCTGGGAATTGTAGCTCTAGTTAGGGGGCAGGGTTAGGGTTAGGGTTCCCTTTTTGCCAGGGAACTCTGGGAATTGTAGCTGTAGTTAGGGGGCAGGGTTAGGGTTCCCTTCTTGCCAGGGAACTCTGGGAATTGTAGCTCTAGTTAAGGCTTAAGGGTTAGCGTTAGGGTTAGAGTTAGGGTTAGCGTTGGGGTAGGGGTAGAGGTAGGGTTCCCTTCTTGGCAGGGAACGGGGTCCCCTAACAACTCTTGGCACCTTTTCCAACTATAGCTCCCAGAGTCTTTGGGGGTGTTTAAGCCACAGGTACTTCTGACTTCACAACCGCTGTAAAAGTGGGGGAGAAGGCCGCGTGGATACATCACACGAGGTGTAAGTCGGCACCACCTCCCCTGGAGACTCAAGACAGTCACGGAGAGGATTATACCTTCGACTCTCCGCCCTCCCCGCCAACGTCCTACATCGACGACGACGAGGAACTAACAACACCAGTAGATCGGGGCCAGAATCGGGCCCAACAGACCGGACCAGCAGATCGGGGCCAGAATCGGGCCCAACAGACCGGACCAGCAGATCGGGGCCAGAATCGGGCCCAACAGACCAGACCAGCAGATCGGGGCCAAGGTCGGGCTCAACAGACCGGACCAGCAGATCGGGGCCAAGGTCGGGCTCAACAGACCGGACCAGACGCCACGCCACCCAACTGGACATCTGAAATCGTCCCAGACACCGACGCCCTCAAGCTACGCATCAAACGCTGCAACACCTCTCCTGATAGCGCGCTTTGACAGCTCTGTTGACAGCTGTTCTGACAGCGCGTTCCCACGGCCTTTCGACCACCTTATACCCCATACTTTCCCATCTTCGGATTCCAACCATGAATTTCTTCATTTTTCTTGTCTACCAGACTCTGACCTACTCCTCAGCCATGCCAACTGATCACTGCACTGGTTTACCCACGGACTACCATTTCTTGGACTATCACCGACTCGAGACGGGTGGGAAATCAAACCCTGATCGAATGGGGGACTTTGACTTTTGCCTCCCCGAGTCGCGGACATTGCTACGACATTCCCTTGTACCTCGCCTAACGGACAACGAGTATTGGGAACTTTTTATCCGAGACCAAGCCCTACACCGAATTGGGTCAGCCGCAGTCACCCTGGACCACTCTTACTACCGCCTCACCTGCAAGAACGGGACCCATTTCCTTTTCGGCAACGGGGAACTTTTGAGGAACCCCAACTGGACCGAAATCGAGAAAGGGGGGGCTACACCATCCTACACCGACGCAACCAATCCCTCCGACAACTTGATTTTCGGATTCCAATGTCTCCTCATGACCCCGGAACCCCGAAAGCCCCAACTACAAGGACTTTGTGTAAGAAAGTTCTGCTGCCTTTGGAACCTCGGAGTTACCCACGACTGGAGAGGGGCAGAATACCTGGAGGGTTGGTACCATCCAACACATCCCTCACACTCCCCTACGTGGGATAACGTTGGACCTCTGCGATGTGGGGGCATAGCCAAAGACAGGCGCCTCCTAAATACCACCGACCCCCTTCATCCACTCGGCACGGCACCACGGAAACTTGGCGCTGACCCGTCCTTCCCAGGAGAAGATCTCCTTTCCTCTTGGGAACAGAACTCTTATATTAAACTCATCGGCCAGGTGGCCAAGGAAGCACCCTACCCTGAATGCTGGATCTGCGCCCATGCGCCCAGCCACCTTCAACAGAGCCTCCCCTCGTTCCAGTCCCGGTTACCATAGAACAATTCCGGTCAGGGGACGTCGCCTCCTGGAACCTGACCGCGTTGAACTTGACCCACCAATACCTTTACCTCACAGGCCCGACTAAGGGTCCACTCTGCCGCACCTTCGCTGGGGAAGGAACCTTCATCGGCTCCAGTACCTGTACGTCCAACTTAGAACTCTTATCTACCGGCCATGTCACCATCACGGACGTGACAGGATCCCGGACCTTCCCAAACCTCACCCTTGCTTGGGTCACTGTCATCGGCCACCCTCCACTCTGGCAGCCTCAACCCGCCGACGCTATGTTGTTGCAAGCCTTCGCTTCAGGGAGGATGGAGTCCTATCTCAGCGGCTTGTTTTGGGTATGTGGCCATCGCGCATACACCTGGGTGAGCCCCCATATGTCCGGATCCTGCTTCGTTGGATACATCGTCCCTGGAATAAGGGTAGTGCCACATCTACCCCCCGGGAGACAGAGGAATAAAAGGGAAGAGAAACGACTGTCTGACTTATCCGATGTCGCTGCAAACGGGGAGACCGTGGGTCGAGCACTCTTTCCTGCTTACGGGGCAGGATCCAACCACGTCGACATCCTTCGGCTCACTGACATCCTCCTCAAATTCATGCAGGAAGCAACTGAGATCACGGACTCCCTGATGTCAGAACTGTCTGAGGTGAGACAGCTAAGTTTGCAGACGAGAATCGCTACGGACTTTCTGCTGTCTAGCCAAGGAGGGACATGCGCCTTAATAGGTACCGAATGCTGCACATATGTAACTGACCGAACCTTAAACATTACTGGACATTTGAATAACATCCACGAGTTAGCAGGGAGACTAAACGAGATACAACACGAAGGACTGTCGGACGTCGACTTGTGGGGATGGCTGCCCAAGCTGGGGATGGCTCCGACAATTGATCAAGGTCATATTGCTCACAATTCTTACTGTTGCCTTTTGCATCTCAGTGCTCTGCTGCGCCATACACTGTGTCTCTCCTTGCTGCTCTCTTCTCCGCTTCCCTGCTCAGTCCGCTCCTCTTTCCTTTCGAGCCTATTCTCGCTCCCACAACGGTCCTGTCTTTCCTGAATATGTGCAAATGAGACATCTAGGAGAAGGAGAGTATGAAATCACAGGGGTATAGGGTGCGGAGAAAGGATTTGCAAGTTCTTACAGAACTTTTGATGCAAATCTATCTCCGAATGGGGGACTGATACGGAAGGAGGGGGGGGGCAACCTTTCTCCCTTCCTGAACGGGCCCGAGGCGATGATCTCGACAGTGCCCAACTCTACCTAGAACCCTCAGCCCCACATCGTTGCACAAGCACCACACTATACCCCTGCCTTGCTAATAAAAGGCTCTTCCTTCCTTTCTCCATACGGGCGAAATAAGCCCTGATCTTCTCTATGCCTTCCTTTCGCCCTATTCCTAACGTGAGTAGACCGCATCATAATAAAACTCCATTCACTATACTGAGCTCCGCTTTAGCCAATCACAGCCATGCATTCGCCTTGCAGGAGCTAGCTCAGGAGCTACTGCACGCCTCATTTGACTCCTGACAAGCTGCTGACGGCCCCCCACTGTGAGAACAATGGATCCGAAACCAGGACCTCATAAAACTGTCAAAATCCTGTTACAATGTATCCATTCTTGCTACAATATGTCCGTTCTGTTTCCGATCTTGATTAACGGTACGGAATAGGTCCGAAAGCATGGAAACCTTCAGAAATTGATATAAAATCAACCGTAACACCGATTTCCTCGCTCTCGGTGTCATTCAACTCGGCTCCCTGTGGACTCCATGATGTGACCCCGGCCTCCATAATCCCCGAAGCGACAGGACACGTACACAGGAACTTCTCAATCCTGTCAGATCGCTTCGCCTCACCCTTCCTCCGGGCAATATTAGGTGGCAGACGATGCATATCTCTGGCCCATTGTCTTGCCACCACCGGTACTCAATAAATGCTTACTTATGTGTATCTCTCACTCTGCATATTTCCCCCTCCCTTATCTCAAATGTTAATTACTGTGACCCTGCCTCTCTTATACATATTCGTGACGTGTTAAATATATTCATGATGTAACCCATGGAACCCAACCTTCTCATAATGTATGCATGACGTTTCTCACACAGTATTCTGGGAAACGGAGGGAACTTTTAAAAGTCTTTGTCGCCCCATCCTCGGGGTTCAATGCCATTTTGAACCTGTTGCGCAATAAACTTCGGGTCTCCGCAGTTTGCTCCTGTGTCCGGCTGAACTTACTTTTCCCGCTAGGACCCGCGGACTTAGTCCGACGAGTCGGGTGGCAGGGCAACTCCGCACCCGAAATTTTCCGTGACAGAAAGTATCAGGATTCAATCCCCCATCCCGATGGATTTCTGTCTTGACTGCGCCCCCCCCCCTTCCTGGATTTAACAGCAGCAATACCTAAAACACGGAGGGATCTAAGCTCGTGGCGTGGGGTGGGGGAGGGAAGGATTTTGCAATATAAACATTGTGGGGGGGGACACACCACTTTGCAGTAGGATTGCCGGGATCAGCCCCTCCCCCATTCTCCTGATTCTCAGGAGGAAGAGGGGAGGGGGGACACCTTCCTCTCCTCCCCGCCCCCCAAGTTCCACCCTTCCCAGACCCCGCCTCCGCAAAGCCCAAATCCCCTCCCCAATATGTTGCTCCTCTTCCTCGCCATCCGGCTCCTGCTTCGGGAAAGTGGGGGCGGGGTGAACCCCCCTCCCAACCTGCCTGCTTCTCCCGCAAGTGGAGCTTCTGCGCCGGATTGCTGCTCTGCGCCGTAGCTCTAGGGGGGGGGCGCTTTCGGAAAGGGGAGGAGGGGCAGCAGGTAAAATCCCCCCCCACCCACGTGGATGTTGCAGGAAAGGAAAGGAGAATCGGGAGCGAGGACAAAGAGGTAAAGGGGTCGCGGGGGGAAGCGGAGAGAAGGATCCAGAGACCCCGCCAGCTCCCCAAAGCGCCTTTCGTGGATCTGGATCCCTGCACGCGTACAATGAAGGAGGTTTTCCTTGGACCCTTAGGAAGCCCACCCAGGGGATCCCACGAAGCCCCCTCGCCCCATTTGCCCGCGCAGGCATCCCTGGGACTCTGTGGGTTCCGCGCGGAAAGAGGTGGGCCATGAAAGGGTTAAGGGGCGTGAGGGACGCCTGGATAGTGACCCCCTGTCCTCCCCCTGCTCGTCTTGGGTGGGGGGCCCTCCGGAGGGAGAGATGGGGGCGCAGGGCGTGGGGTAAGCCGCGCCAAGGGGGGCCTCTGGGTTCAGTGGAGACTCTGGGACAGAGGGAGGGAGTCGAGGAAGTGGGGAGGGGGAGCATCCCTGGGGCAGGGAAGGGCAGAATTGGGGAGGGGGAGATAGGAAACCAGTCTTTGGGGAGACTTATCCATAGTGGCTCCCGTGGGGAATCTCCGGAGGGGCCGCCTTGGCTTCTCCCTCCCACCCAGGAATCGGCCACCCCTTCAAGGCAGCCAGAGGGATCCCTGGAAAGTGGGGGGTCCCATCCCCCCACCCCTTCCTTCCTGGAGCCTCTATCCTCTTTACACCCCATAAGCCCCTGCCCTGTCCAGACTGTTGCAGGAATTTATGTATAGGTTGGGGGGGGGTTGCCCCTCCAGCAGATATCATGCACATGCAGCCCACTACCAAAAACAGCACAATCGCTTTTGTGACTTTTGTGATTTCTTCCCACAAAACACTTCATCACACTTTCTTCCTATCTATTCAAAGGACCTCTGCTGCACAATACCAAATGTAAGAATTCACTGATAAATGTCTCTATGTACTGGCTCACTGGGGAAACTTCAGAAATTCCTATAGACATGTGAGCTCAGCTCCTCAGCAGCCCCTCTGCCTGAGGGATAATCCCTGGCATCCTGATACCTGAGTGCCAGACAGGTAGCCATTCCACAAAGAACCAAGGCAGATGAAGACAAAAGGCTGGGATTAGCTTGGCTGGGAAACAGGGAATGTCCGCCCTCCCTTTCCCACAGGTGGGTGGGGTTTGTGGCACCAAGATAGGGCTCACCTGGGCGGGTGCCCCCCACCTGCTTGGGCCGGCCTTTGACCCGCCCTTGGTCAGGAAGGACAATGGATGGCCAGCCGGGGGTGGGGCAAAGGCCAAAGAAAAGAGGCCTACCCCTTTGTTCAAGCCTCTTTTGGTTTTCTTCCTTGCAGGATCAGGATCCTCAGGAGCGTGTCCTGGCGGCCAGATTAAGGTAAGTTCAGGCCTGATTGGAAGGGGCATGGCCCCTCCACCAGGCTAGGCCACAATTTTGTGGCTTTTCTTTCTGGGCGGGCGCCCAGCTAGGATGCAACCTTTTTGTTTTGCGGTGGCGGGGGGGGGGGCATAGCCATCCACCACCTTCTAGCTGTAGGCCGCATGCCAGCCATTTCCCTTCGGGGGGGGGGATAAGTCAGGCCACATGGCGGTCATGTTTGTTTGCACTTCCTCCCCCCCTTATTCCACTCTGGCTACTGACGCACTTCTGCACCTAGAAGGGAAATGTAAATATCTCTTTTCTTTCACCTGATAGATGTTTGGTGGAGGGCAAGGGGAACCATGGGCAGGGTCCAGGATGCTCAGATTACAGCCACCACACCTCCCCTTTCATAATGTATTTTGGGGACTGTAAGATTGGGATTAGCAGCTAATAAAATTTTGGGTTCTCTTTTGTTCGGGGCTTCCATCTTGTTCCACCTGGTGGCAGGTGGGAGTCCTGTCGCGACCGTCTTCAATAAATACCAAGCCTACTGGCTGCTGTTTTGCTCTGGTATTCCTGGCTGGTGTCCTTGTTTTTTGTCCAGGGGGCCCCTCAGATTTCTCCATTAGCAAGACGCACCTTCCTTCCTGCAAGCTTCACTCGCTTCCCACCCCATAAGCCCCTGCCCTGTCCAGATAATAATAATAATAATAATAATAATAATAATAATAATAATAATAATAATAATTTATATCTCACCATTCCCCGGGCGAAGCCGGGCTCATGATCAATTAATTAAAATGCATTCTAAAAGCAACTCATTCTAATATAAAATCAAAATCAAATTAATGGCAGATACAGCAATTCTGCCCGGTCCAACCATTGTTCCCCCTGGAGAGGAGAGGAAATCCCCAGAGGAAGAGGGAGGGGGGAGGCCTTCTCAGAAGCGGCTCTTTGTTTCCGCAATCCCACCCAGGAAGCAGCCAGAAACCTTTTCCTCTCTCTCAGGCTTCCATCTTTAAGCGTCTTTTCCTCTACCTGGTTCATTGAGGATGCAGAAGATGTACACCTGTTGTCAGGAACAGGGGTGCCGAGTCCATGGAATGGCTCTCAGGATTGATATAGAAGTTGCATCTCAAAGGCATTTTTGTTCCTCTAACTTTTTGTAGGCAGTGTCAGACTGACAGACAAGCTGAGATACAATCCATCAAAATTCAATGACAGCGGCTGCGTGAATCTTCCCAGTCAAAGGACCCATTTTCATGATAGACAGCCCCCGTGGCTGGAGGCTCAACCCCCAGGGTGTGCCTATACAGGCCAAAGACTGCCAGCATTAGCACAGGTGAGGTGTGTGACCCCCCCCCCAATCGACAGGTTGTGTGTCAATGAGAGTTTGTGGGTGGGATTATCGTTTACGACAACTCTGTTGCTCCCACAAGGGAGCACCCAGGGGTCAGAACACTCCTCTCCCAAGACCACTTTCTGAACAAGGCCCAGGAGGAAGGAGGGGAACCACTGCAGAGCAGGGTCCCCAGCTCCCCTAGAGGGTCCAGAAGGATACCATGGCCAAAGGTCTCCAAAGCCACTGAGAGATCCAGCAGAACCAGGAAACAGTTTTCCCCTTGGACTCTAGCACATCGGAGATCATCATCCAGCGCAACCAGGGCAATTTCAGTCCCATGATGAGGCCTGAATCCCCATTAGAAGGATAATGGTGGAAGAAGCTTTCCTGCTGTTCCAGGTACCCCCCTCCCCAGTCATTCAGTTTGTACTTACACGACACACACAACATAGACGACGTTTTTCTTATAAATTTATAGTAAATCAACTGTACATCAGATTTACCGTATTTCCCCCTCTATAACACACAGATTTTTTCTCCTAAAAAGTAAGGGGAAATGTCCATGCGTGTTATTGAGCGAATGTGTGGACCCTGGAGCCGACTGGCCCGAGTGCATCACACATTTTCTTCGAGGGTCGTCTTCGTTGTGGTCAGCAGAAGCCAGGGAAGTGCTTGCTAGGAGGTTTGGCCACTTTGCAGCGCGACTGTGTGTTTGCTAGTGTGTGTGCTTTGTGAGTGTGTGGTTGCCTGTGTTTGTTCGCTAGCGTGGGTGCTTGGAGGGAGTGAGAGAGTGACGGACTGCTGCATCTTCTCCTGCAATTTGCCTTTTAAAAAATTGGAAGCAGCGGGGCAGTAAAAAACCACCTCTGAAAGCCCCATTTTCTTTTCTTTTTTTAATTAAATTTTTATTGAAGTTTTAACATATCAACACAACACAATAACAACACAATAACAAAAAGAAAAATAAAAATAAAAATGACAGACTAAGAAATACAAGAAATAAAACACGTATAACTTCAATTTTTACTTTCTTTTAGCTTGCTTTCACGACTTCCTCATACCTTCCCTTTCTGTATTCTAATTTCTAATTCAATTGTCAGCAAATCCTTCCCCTACTTTTAAATTAGTTTTAATAACAATTATTTTCTTCAGATTATCCCTTGCCGCTTTTAACCCCTTAATTTCTAATCCAGCATTTTTCTAACCTTCATTAATTTTACAATATTTCTTTAAATACTCTTTAAATTTTTTCCAATCTTCCTGCGCCGTATCTCTTCCCTGGTCACGGATTCTGCTCGTCATTTCCGCCAGTCCATGTAGTCTATCACCTTCAGTTGCCATTCTTCCACGGTGGGTAGTTCTTGCGTCTTCCAGTACTTTGCGATGAGTATTCTTGCTGCTGTTGTGGCATACATAAAAAATGTTCTATCCTTCTTTGACACCAATTGGCCAACTATGCCCAGGAGGAAGGCCGAAAGCCCCATTTTCCCCTCCTAAGGCTGCAGCTCGGCTTTGGGAGCCCTGAACCCCTGCCTTGTTCTTGAGGGATCTTTGAGGTTTTCCCTTTAGCTTTAACCCAGCCCCCTTATTTTACCAGTTTATCTTCATTCTCGGTGCGGTAAACTGATTGCAGGCAGCCACACATGCGCGTTCGAGCCTCCCGAGAGAGAAAGCTATTGCTTTCCTGCATTCTGCCCCAGGGTCTTACTGCCCACTTTCTTCTGTTTCGTTACTGTGTTTGCTCAAACAGAACAAAGAGCAGAGAAAGCCCCTCCCTTCCAGGCAAGCAGAGGGGAAAGCAGAGCGTCCTTCCTTCTAATTCCTCTCCGTGCTGTGCTCTGGTGCTGCTGCTGCGTCTAGGGACTCGCAGGCAACATGCAGGTGGGGGGGGGGAGAGAGAGAGAGAGCTGGCTGGCTTGGGTGGGTGGGGAAACTTTTGCCTTCCTTTCCTCCCTCCGGTAAAACCCCTCTCCTGCATTCTTAGCCAGCTGTTTCTCCGCACACCCCTCTCGGTGCTCCTTGCCCCTTCTATGTTTTTCCTTCCCTCCCCACTTAAAACATGGTTACAAAGCACGGATCCTCAGGATCTTTGCATTGGGTCACCCCAAATTCACCATCAGGTCACATAGCAATGATCTGATGCAAAAACAGGTCTGCAATGGTGCAAAAAACGTGGTTACAAAGCACGGATCCACATGGATCCTCAGGATCTTTGCATTGGGTCACCCCAAATTCACCATCAGATCACATAGCAATGATCTGATGCAAAAACAGGGCTGCAATGGTGCAAAAACGTGGTTACAAAGCACGGATCCACATGGATCCTCAGGATCTTTGCATTGGGTCACCCCAAATTCACCATCAGATCACATAGCATATCCATGGCTACAGCCTGCACCAAAAAAATCACGCACCCACTGTTGCCTGGGGCTGCAATGGTACAAAAAACGTGGTTACAAAGCATGGATCCACATGGATCCTCAGGATCTTTGCATTGGGTCACCCCAAATTCACCATCAGATCACATAGCATATCCATGGCTACAGCCTGCACCAAAAAAATCACGCACCCACTGTTGCCTGGGGCTGCAATGGTGCAAAAACGTGGTTACAAAGCACAGATCCACATGGATTCTCAGGATTTTGCATTGGGCTAACCCAAACTCACCGTCAAATCACATGTCTGTGGCCACAGCATGAAGCTCAAAAATGATACATCCACTGTTTCATTCAGATATTTTTTTCTTGTTTTCCTCCTCTAAAAACTATGTGCGTGTTATGGTCAGGTGCGTGTTATCGAGCGAAAAATACGGTACACCGGTCCACTTTTATTTTGCTCCATGAAGAAAGGACTATCAAAGGGCAGCCATAATCCCTTCACCATCCCAGCACATCCACAGGAGCCCTGCCCAGTTGCTATGCCAACCCTGATGGTCCCAGACAGAAGACCATCAAGGTAACAAAGAACTTGCATATAGGAGTGGATTCAACATGGACTGGAACAAAGGACAATGATCAGCTCTTCCCTCTGGGGGGCAGGAAACTGCAAACTCCCCTTGTCACATGGAAAGTACTCATGGGGAGGGGGAAAGGGGGGAACCGCCAGGTGGCAGGACACTCAGGTTACCACCACAACTCCTCCCTCAACCCCTCCTTTTTGTGATGTATCAGTGATGTAGTTGTGATGTAGTTTTAGGGGTGTAGTTTGAGGAATTAGTAACTAATAAAAGTTGGGGTCTTCTTTTGTTGTGGGCTTCCATCTTGTTTCACCTGGTGGCAGGTGGGAGTCCTGTCGCGACAGTTTTCAGTAACGACCAAGCCTCCTGGCTGCTGTTTTGCTCTGGTATTCCTGGCTGCTGTCCTTGTTTTTTGTCCAAGGGAGCCCTCAGATTTCTTCATTAACACTGGTCCTGCACCCCCAAAAGCTCCAGGCACAAGACTTTCATTAGCATTGAAGGGGCCATCGGATACTTGGTGATCTTTTCTTCAAAAGACAAATATTCTGAATAATTTTTAATTGATGTATGATATAAACAGCACTTCTGTTTTACATATTCCACATTGGAGAGATTTTGATACACAGGTCTGAGTTCATCGCTCCCCCCGAAACTGATGTGTTAGCAGTCCTGCCAGCCTGGACAGTGTGTTTGGGGGTCCTGGGCTGCCTAGACAACAAGACCCCCTTCTCAGCCTGGCTTATATGGTCCCAAGGAAAGCAGAGCAATACGTTAGGCACCAGCTTGGCTGCAGGAGTTGAATGAAGAAGATGTGCAGGACACCATCCAACTGTCTTAGAGAGTCCACTCTGGATTTGTGTAATTTCTCCTCCATAGCCTTTTCTTCTCCTGAAGATAACTCACGAGGAAGCGAAGGAGTGCACCAAAGTATTACGACCAAAGTTTTCCTTCTCGAGGAGCTCCCTTCCCAGGTTGATGAGCCCCATCTGCCCTTCACTTTCCTCTGCAGCATGGGCAGAATCTGCCTTCTTGACTGTGGGATTCACTGTTGTTCTCATCCTCTCCATCCACCAGGGCCTTTCTTCACCTGCAGCAGAATTCCCCAACCCACCAAGAATTTGAGACCCATCAGATATCCTCACCTGGTTTAGCCGGTCGGTTGAAGCTGTTCCTGGGATTGTGGCCCGTATTGCATCCTGACAGCTTCTGGAAGCCAGAGGTGAGAGCTGAGTGCAGGGTGGGGACCACTGGTGGATAAATTACCCCATAAGGTGCATGACATTTCCCCCACCAAAGGTACTACCGCTCCCCTAACACCCCATGACATCGTATGATTATGATCTTTAAGACAGAACAGGAATAAATTCATGTCCCCTTCAAGCCATTAATGAATCAATACTACATTTTCAAGATACTACACATTCCACTAAGTACAGTTTATCTATTTGCCTTGAATATCCTGCTTTTCGGTGTCGTTTTAGGATAGTCCTGCACAAGATCAGACAGCACATCGTTCTTTAAAATATCAAGCTGCTTTATTAACATTGATTGAAGATTTTGAAAGTTGCTCATAAATTACTATCATTTGACATTGCAACTTCACTTGGGAACATGGGTAGGAGGTGAGGGAATGTAGGAGATGTTGAAATAGGAGAAGGTGCAAATGGAGCTTGATGTGTTCTCTTTCCCTTTGTTCTCTTCCTTGAAACCAAAATAGGGTTCCCTTTCCTCCCACTCTGAAGAAGGAGATGGAGAAGACAGTCAGAACTCCAGGGGATGGGGCACAATTCCTCCCCATTAGGGATAGAAATTAAAATGTGTGAAATGCGGAATATGCATCATTGAATGAGCACACATAGTTCACATCAATGACCTCCAGCAGGGGAGAAACCGTTTAAAGGTATGGAGTGTGGGAAACGTTTCACTGATATTGGAAAACTTAGAACAAATCAGCGGACTCACATGGGCAGGAAAGGACTGCAATGCGGGGAGTGTGGGAAGAACTTCAGTCAACATGGACACTTAAGACTACATCAACGGACTC